GGCTAATAAGCCAGAAATGGCCATTCCGGTCTCCCTCTGCTTTGTCGGATCTACTTCAGCATTAGGTATATTTAAAACTTGAAAGAAGTATAAGAAGTACTAAGTGTTTGTTAAGAAAAACAAGTACCGGAGATGTAAATTATAGCTATAATTAAGAACAATAAATTTAAATATTATGTTAATCTGAAAACTTTACGTAACCACTTTCTTTATATAAAAAGAAATTTTCTTTATTCAAAATTTTTTGTTCAGATTACCGTTAATGGATAGCTATTTATCTAATATCGTTCTTGAAATTATGGAATCATTTCCTGCGTTTTCAGTGTCTTCATTTGTTCATCCATCAACCGATGGATGATTTTCCTAACGAAAAGGCTTTCGCAGAATTAAGTCCACTCAATGAATCAAAATAATGTGACCAAATATATTCTAAAGTACCAAGTCAAATTTCGTCATGAATGTTGTAAGATTTTTAGCGCATACTCTTTGTCTGAAGAGTTGCAAACAAGGACTAGCTGCAGGCGAACGAAGTGCCGAAGCAGCTGAATTAGATTGCAGGCGCTCAAGAAACCTTTGCAAATTAGCCCTGTAATGTAGTTGTTGCGGTATGTGAAAATCCACTCAACATCCGCAAACTTCGTCTGTCTTGGTTAAGCAGTTTTGCTTAGCATGCACAAAGCCTCACACAGCTGGCTACTTAAACTCAGACTGCCGGATCTTTAAAGGAAGAGGCGACTGTTTGTGATACGGCAATATAGTAGTTCTGTGATTTTTGTCACATTTGGTTTCTGATAGCTAATTTATAAATATTAACTTAAATAAGACTGCCATTTAGAAAACCAAACTGAAGATCTTGATGATATGGAGGAGAGTACTGGCTCCTATCTGTCTGTCAATGAAAATAATCGTAGTTTGCGTATTTCTATGCATCTGCACAGTCTGCCTTTAAAATGCACTCAATCAACAACCTTTGAACACTTTCCCTTCACAATTTTTCCGTCGCTCTTACAAACTCCCGACATTATAAGTCAACATGCTGCAGGCCATAGATATATATCGTCACTTTCTATAAAGTTTATTCGCCAGAGATCAAAGGAGAACCCCTTTAAGGTTCGTATTGATAATAACCACTTACTTGCAAATTTTCAGTAGGTCAAATCCCATCCAAGCATTTCATTAATTTTGTTAACAAATATGAGTTTTCTTATATTCTTATTGGTCAATATGCACCCTTTTCTCAGTCAACAGGAGTTTATGTTGGACAATTTTATTCTCTCCTGCTACTTTTCACCAATATATTCAGCTCGCTGAACCAATTGCAAGAGGCGTTAGTTTATTTTCTACTCTTCATTTTCCACACATTAAACAAGCAGTACCTATTCGTTAATGCAACATTAAGTCTTCAACCACAATTTCTGTAAGAAATCTTGGGCAGGGGACTTTTACAACTAGGCGACCCGCGCTGAATCGCTACCGTTTATTCATAAATTATGCATAAGTAACGTTGGTTGATTTTCAATTGTAAACAGGCGGTTTCCTGGGTAAAATTTATATTTTTTAATTAAATTAGCTCATTCGTCTGATTTTCTGTTGGTATTAATACTTACTCATGCAAATAAGGTCGCCTACCAAGTCGCTAGTATGGCAGAGATACCCATTGTTAACGTCTGTTGTAATGAAACGGGCGGCTGACTACGAGCCTTAGTTGAATGCGGTGGAATTCTAACAAGCTTAAGGGCTACTGTTTTTGTTGTGACATGGAGACCACACACCGTGCACGTTGAAAATATTTGGACTTTCGCTATATACCTTTGTTGGAATGTCTGCGAGAATCAAGAAGGGTATAATTGCCTGATGATTTGAAGGCTAACGCCTGTTCTAACTTACCTAGGCTTTTGTTTTGCTCACAATGAACTGAGAATTAGCATGTACGTGAACTTAGAGCAGAAAGGATTTCAATGTGCAGAACAGACAGTTTAATATACAGTTCACTGGACTAATACGCCGATGATGATAACTAGATTGACGGAGCAGGCGCGATTTGCGTGGAGTTAAAGAATAATGAAAGAAGCTTGTGCAGCATATGCCTCATATTCTCTTTCGCGTCCTCGAGCCTGACTCAGAAAAAACAGCCACTAAGATGGACAATGAGGCATCGCTCAGTCACCGAAACGGTCAAGCTGTGCTACGAAAAAACAAACTGCCCCTATCGGTTAGACTCGGCCTCGCATAAATTCGTCATTGGTCTAGAGTCATGTCGTATATCTTCATCTGGGTTCGTCGACCAGTCGCAGAAGATACTGGTTTGTCTTCATTGACATCAGCCAGATGAGAGTTGAACTGCATATCGGGTCAGCATGAAAGAACTACACCCATAAACTCGGTTTTCAACGCTACCGTCAGTTTACAAAACTGTTCACCCGTTTCTGGGATACCCATTAACCTCTGTGATAGGTCGTTTACAGAATGTCCGCATAAGAGCCTACCTTGGTGTCAAAAGACAGTAATCGACAGATCTGGTTAGCGTTGTGTTCTCGATAAAAGTGTAAAAGGACATATACAACACTTTTTGTTTACATCAATGGCTTTCATGGCTGCCTTCCAGTTTTCTCTAGTCCCTGCATGACAAAATAGCGAACAATAGTTTTGAAACAGTTTCATTTACTCGTCAAATCGTCATGAAAACGGCAGTGTAATAGTTCAGATGTCCGAGTCTAATCGACGGAGAAGTCATCTAGAAATTCAAAGGAAGAAGCCACAATTGGGTATTCAGTCAGATGAACAAAAAACAATGCTTTAAATAAGGGTGAGCAAATTAAAGGGGAGGCATTGCCAGAGCGAGACAATGTTTGCTAAACTATCCTCTCGTTTGCACAGATCAGTGCATTGCTATTGCAATCGACAGGAACCCTAAGCTCTCCAGCCCAAGCACCTAATCGTTGTATTTGGGGTTCAGTAAAATGGAAAGCTCTGCTTTTCTGACCATTGATTATTTGCATTTTTCTATTTCAGACTGAAATGTTGGCGTCTGAAGTCACTCACCTTGTCCGATGGCAAGTACTACGAAATGGTGAAAGGCAATTTTGAACGGGCTGAACGACCAAGGATAGTGAGGGCGACAAATTCTTATGTCACATCCCTCGTTTGTCTCTTAAACAGATACAAGGATCTGCAATTTAATTAGAAAGATTCAAATTGTGTTTTACAGGCCACAAACATCACTTTATTAAGTATTTTTTTCACTCTCGTCCTCGGCTTCGGGTTTCATATCAAAACTATTATTGGAAACTTGAGTATTTCCTCGTTAAATTTCCAAAAGCATTATTGTTTCTTCTGTACTCATTACGTGATGATCATAATATGAAGCGGCTTACCAAATTTGACGACCCTTATGACGTCTGCTGTATAAGCTTATTGATTGCAAAGTTAGTTAAAGATCCCTTCAGGAGGTCCGTGGCTGGGCAAAATAAGTGAAACGACCGTCACTCACACCTCAATGATTTTCTTGTTAACTTAAGTATTTTTGAATATCTTTGTCATTTTCGGTTCAAATTGTTTCAGTAGCATTTAAACACCCGTTGGTACTGTTTTAATTCCTATTTCCGTGTCTCATTCAAAATTTATTAGTCTGTATTTGTGGCCTAATGCTGTTAAATGCACCTGGCACAAAGTTTAAGCAGCACTCCTACAAAAGTGCCGCACGATCGACGGAGGTTGAAAATAAACCTAGTCTGCGTGATAACGTTCCTTCGCCATAATGGTCTAAAACAACTGCAGTAAATATCATTTGACTTTAAAACAATCATGAAAACAACGTCAGGTAGACCAGCCATCTTCTCTTATTGAATCCAGCAGACAAACACCAGTGGAATTATCCGTATTCGATGGTTAGCGGATAATCAAGGCTTCCCTGGTGCCCGTCCCCATACTTTTACAGTCAGTCAAAGAGTTTCTGTAGCATCAGGAGTTTTCTTTTAGAAAGAATTTAAGAACCGATATGCACACACTTTAGAGTGCTCAGTCCTTCTTTATAAGGTATGCAGTATGGCGCGCAAAAGCACCATTTTTCTCCTTTAAATCGCCAAATGTTATTTAAAACCTTGATAGTTTCCGAGAACCGCGTAAGGAGCTTTTCACTGCTCTGTTTTATTTTACCCCCATCTAATAGTTAGTGTCATTGGCGTCGCTTATGAGCCGAGTACAATAATTATTGAATTATATTACTCGTGATGAATGAATAGCAATGTATGTTCACTATTTCCCACTACTTGACTGCTGTGAACGACTACTGTTTTAATGCTTCTACTGTATTGATGCCTTTTTCAATCCATATTTTACCAATAGAGAGCTCAAAGGCGTTTGCCTATCTTTCCCTCAATAAAACTGAACTGAGCTAAACTGAAGGTTAGTGACAAGTGAAAGGTTGAAAAAGACAAGACGAAAGTGATTCAATTATTATTATGAGGAAAAACCTCCGAGTCACTGGGCAGGTAAATGTGTGTTGGAGAGGACCGCCCTGTAGGTGAAATTATATAAGGCTATCAAACTTTCCTCGTCAAGTTCGAATTCTTAAACGGGATTAAGTCATTCACTGAAAGTGCATTTATGCTATTTGTGGGATGATAGTAGAATCTACCGTCATGATGGTGGAACACGAGGAGCTAACGCGATCGCCCAAAAGCCACTTAAAGTTCAGACAAGAGGGGCATTTAAAAGGCTGCGGTGGTCACCCAAGCGCGACGAGATGCGTTTGTGAAGTTTTTTTACTGACTCAACTATAAGTCACTTTATTAAGGGAAGAAGGCTTTCGCCCTTGAGCTCCCTAT